CTCAGTCCATCACAGAGACACCTGGACATGTCTCAGTCCATCACAGAAACACCTGGACATGTGTCAGTTCATCACAGAAATGCCTAAATAGGTCTCAGTTAATCACAGAGACACCTGGACAAGTCTCAGTCCATCACAGGGACACCTAAACAGGTCTCAGTTAATTACAGGGACACCTGGACAAGTCTCAGTCCATCACAGGGACACCTAAACAGGTCTCAGTTAATTACAGGGACACCTGAACATGTCTCAGTCCATCACAGGGACAACTGGACAGTTCACAGAGACACCTGGACAGGTCTCAGTTCAACACAAGGACACATAAAGACAAATGAGACAAACAACCATTCACTCTCTCACTCTCACTTAGGGACAATTTAGAGGTAATAATCAGCCTAACATGCATGTTTTTGGTCGAAACTGGAGTATCTGAAGAAAACCCACGCATGCACGGAGAGAAAATGCAAACTCCACCCAGAAAGACCCCCGGACAGGATTTGATCCGGCAACCTTCTCGCTGATAGGCAGCAGCTCTACCAACTGTGCCACCATGCCGCCCTATGCTGAGTCAGCATTTTGATTTGTCTGTAAAACACCATCTCAAACAAATAACTTCACCGGGTCAGCATTTACAGAAAAAAAACTACACTAAAACACAGAATCTGTTCACCCCGAAGGTCAGACTGTGCAACGACTCTACAGGCTTCAGTCTGCAGGTCAAAGGTCATGACCTTTTCTCTCTATAAACAACATGGCAGCATGACTTTATCTGAAGGAACCACAAGACTTCTGGACCAGAACCAAACCAAAGGACAGATGTTTACCCAGAATGCACTGCAGCAAACAGCTTCTCCTAGCTGTCAGCACGGTGGTGGAGGGCTGATGGTTTGGGATCTGGGTACTTTCATCAACAGTGTCTCAGTCTGGTCAAATAAATATCAAATGTAAATTTTGTCCTTGGAGGCTGAGAGGAGCCTGCAAAGGTTGTCTCTGCTGAAACGTTAAAATTCTCAGAATGAGCTATGATTAAAACAACAATTTCATCTTTTTGCTCACCAACTTTAACAAAAATGGAAGCTGAATGCCAACAGGAAATAAATTCTTCACAGTTTGTTTTATTTACCCTTTGAATGTCTCAATTTTTTTCCACGGAGGTCCTTGTGTTGTTTCGACAGCTCATGTCTCAAAACGTTCGGCTCATTTGGGACACTCCTGATCTCACTTTTGATCTTTGTGCAACTTTTACTATTTGAAGTATTTAGCTTTGTCCACCATGTTTTTCCTCAGGAAATGGAGCTCTCTTCACTTTCTTCAAACACTTAACTGTTTAAAACTTTTACTGCTCATTTCAGCTTTTCTTCTGCCTTTTACAGCTTCTCTCTGCTAATTTAAGCTTTTTCTGCTTTTCAGAAAAAGCTTAAATTAAAGCAAATGTCATTTGATTTTTAGCCTTTTAACTGCATTTTTTCCTAATTTCTACTTTTTGTGCCCCTTTCTGCTAATTTTAATTTTTATTCTACTTTTAGCCTTTTTCAGCTAATTGGCTTGTTTCTGCTAGTTTCACTTGTTTCCTTCTTTTCATGGCTTCTGTTTACAAAGTGAAGCTTTTGTGTGCTCTTTAGGATTTTTTCTCCAAACGTGGGCCTCTTTTATGTTCTTAGCTACTTTCTGCTAAATTAAGGTTGTTTCTTTTACTTGTAGCGTCTTCTTGGTTATTTCAGATCTTTGAGCTCCATTTAGCTTCTTTCAGTTCAGTCATCTTTAGACATATTGAGCTAAAATTTGTTGTGGTAGTAGCCAAGAGTGATCTCTGCCCCTGACCCACAATGAAGACTTAAATAAAAGTTCAAGATGGCCACCATAGCTAACACAAGCTGTCTGTCAGTCTGCAATTATTTTGTTGTCTGAGCTCTAACTATATGGCCACATAACGTAGAGATGTCAAACTTCACAGCTGATGAGTCAGCAATGAGCTCTATTGATATCAAGGTCACTGGGTTCAAGGTCATGGGGTCAAAAGTCACCCCACTCTTTAAATAGCTTCACATTTATAACCCTTTTACATAGAAAGGTCAAAGATTACATTTGGACACCTCAAAGGTCAACAATATTCATTTTAGGATCCTGGACTCAAGGGTCAGAGTCAAAGATCACCCATTTTTTTCATAGCTCTAACACAATAACCCTTTGATATATTGTTGTAAACAATTAATATTTTTAGGATTCAAGGTTCTTTATTGCCATTCACATTACATGTGGTGCATGAGGTGGAACGAAACTATGTACACAGGGTTACATCCAACAAAAATACAAATTGTAAAGAAAAAAGTAATAAGATCTAAGATATGAACTAAGAAATACACTAAACTAAGAATACACTAAACTTTTTGCTCCTTTTTCTACACTTTCAGCAGGTTCTAAGCTTCTATTTGCTTTTGTTCTACTTATTACTGCTTTGCTGCAGTACTTTAAGGTTCTTTCTTGTAATTTTAGCTATTTTCTGCTTTTTTCAAACATTTTCCTTTCAATTTTAGCTTTTTATCCTCCTATCTGTTTCTTTCTGCTAATTTCATCTTTACTCTGTTCTTTTCGGTTATTGTTCTGATGTTTCCTCATTGTTGTGCTCCTTTCAATTTTTTATTCATTTATTTTGCTATTTGTGTATTCAAGTAAGATTTTGTTTGTTCAGTAGTTTTCAGCAAAATTGTTCAGAATTCATTTTTCGCAGAAACGGAACTAATGTCCCGACCGGAACATGACCTCGTCGACTCGTGTTCACTGTAACACAGATGGGTTTGGAGGAGCAGGAGGACTTGTTTTGCTAGCTGTTAGCTCAGAGTTCGGTAAGTTTCAGCAACACCAAAATAAACTCAGCTTGATTTGAAACAGTTCTGACCCAGACTGAAACCGGTTTTGGTGTAAATCTGAAAACGTTACGAACCGGGTCGACGAACAGCCGTGTGGTGAGGCTAACGAAGCTAACGCTAACCAGGGGGAGGGACACCCCATCAGCCCGGGACCGTAACCCAAACCCGGGACGGGGGTCCTAAAATATTTTATATCTTTACACAGACAAACCACCACCGCTCTTTAAACAGTAAAATGTTTAACTTGCAGACAATTTTTAGGTTATAAAACGATTTAAAATCTGACTGGCTCTGAAAAGTCTACAGTTTCGTAAAGTAAATGTGTATTTTTGGTCTTTGTTAAATATTTTTAGAATACTCTAATAAAAGTTTAATGTGATATTTTAAATAATTTATTTTCAATTTCTGTTGGTTCTTCCATTTTGACCTAAATCAAAAAGTGCAGAGAAAAGTTGTGACTCCAGAAACCTGAAGAAGTTGACAGACTTTAGTTTTTTTGAAGAATTTGATTAATTTTGACCTGCTGGTTTTTATATGTGAGCTGATTTATATTATTTTTTTTAACAAAGTCATTGCTGACGCAGTGTTTGGAGCAGCTCAGAAAAAAAAAATTTCTAAATACAGTATAGAAAATAACAACCTTTAAAAAACATCATGTTCGTGTTGGGTTTATTTTCAGCTGAGCGGAGCGCCATAAAAATATTTTCTGTCTTCAGGTCTAAAACTTTATTTTATGTTCTGCTATGATGGTGTACTGTTGTTTCCAGGGTTAAAACCTAGGTCTGGCCGGGTTCTATTGTGTCCAGAGTGGGTCCGATGGCAGCAGGAGAAGCAACCGGCGTGGACCTCAGCAGGAAGTTTGTGACAGAGGCAGAACTCGACGAGAAGAGGAAGAAGAGGCAGGAGGAGTGGGAGAAAGTCAGGAAGCCCGATGATCCAGAAGGTTGGAGAAATGACTGCAGGGACACAGTTGGACCTTTAGTTCTGCATGCTGACCTATGTGTGTCTCTCTCTATGTGTGTGTCTCTCTCTGGGGGGCAGAGGTCCCGGAGGAGGAGTACGACTCTCGGTCTCTGTTTGAACGTCTGCAGGAGCAGAAGGACAAGAAGCAGCTGGAGTATGAGGAGCAGTTTAAATTCAGTGAGTCTTTGAGTCACCCAGTGTTTCACCTACCGTTATACAAGCAGGGCACCCTGCCCTGTCAACAGAACTGAACCCCTCCCCGGTGACAACTGCCGACACTGATGCAGCACTAAGCTAGCGCTGCGCAGTAAAAAGTTACAAAGGGCTACTAACTCCCTGTTTCCCTCACACTGAGCCTTCTCTACCCCCCACCCCCCCACTCGAAAACTGTCAGTGCAAACGGCGTGCAACACAGACGTGTCTCCATCTCCAGCAAGGAGACCGAGGGTGGACGCTCTAAATGTGTGGACAATGACAGGCAAAGGTAGAGAAGTGGCTGACATGATGCAGAGAAGGAAGGTAGATGTTTTATGTGTCCAAGAGACCAAGTGGAAGGGCAGCAAGGCTCGCAGCATTGGAGAAGGGTTTAAACCAGAGCTATTCAACAAAACTGCTCAGGGGGCCACAGTTTCTGAAAGGCAGCAGCTCAGAGGCCGGACATCCAGCGATTAAAGTCATTATGTAAATAAACCAAGTTTTACAACGATCTGTTACCTTTTAAATTTATTTGTTTTATTGCATTGAATCATAAATGCAATAAACAGAACCCAAAACCAGAAACCTATATATATATATATAAAAAGTCATTGGTGGGCTGGATTGAAGTCACTGGCTCACGGGCCGCCAGTTGAATATCCCTGGTTTAAACTGTTTTACCATGGTATGGATGGAAAGAGAAATGGAGTAGGGGGTCCTGAAGGAGGATTCAGCAAATAATGTAGAGGTGAACAGAGTGTCAGATAGGGTGATGTGGCTGAAGGTAGAAGTAGAAGGTCTGATGCTACCGGTAAATGTTGGCAGTGGTTATGCTCCACAGGTTGGATGTACAGGCGTATGCTGAGTTGTATGGGAGGCTGGACACTAAACAGCGAAAAGAACTTGTACCAAATGGTGAGACAAAGGGATCAGGCTGGAAAGGATGTGCATCACGTTAGGCTTGTTAAAGATATGAATGGTAATGTAACAAGTGAGGAGAGTGTGATGGGAAGATGGAAGGAGCACTTTGAGGAGCTAATGAATGAAGGGAATGAAATGGAAAGAAGAGTAGAGATCAACTGGGAGATAAAGTTAGAGAGGCCAAACTGAGATGGCTTGGACATGTCCAGAGGAGGGACAGTGGTTTGGACATGTCCAGAGGAGGGACAGTGGGTATATTGGTAGAAGGATGTTAGAAATGCAGCTGCCAGGAAAAAGACGAAGAGGAAATATATGGATGCAGTTAGAGAGGACATGGAGGTAGATGAAGTGAGGACAGAGGACGTAGAGGACAGAGTGAGATGGAAGAGTAGGGCAAGAGGGAACAGCCGAAAGAAGAAGAGCTCTATAACCACAGAAGCTGTGACATGTTAAGGTTTTTTTTATATATATATTTTTTTTAATTCTTGTTTGTGTGACGGGAACCTGTTTCCATGACGACAGGCAACATGGTGAGGGGGCTGGACGAGGACGAGACCAGTTTTCTGGACCAAGTGTCCCGACAGCAGGTCCTCGTGGAGAAGCAGAGGCGGGACGAGGAGAAGCAGGAGCTGCTGGAGTACAGAATATCCTTCAATAAAATAACAAGAATCAGTTTTATTCAATTTGGGGTGCAATATAAACAAGTCTTGGACAAAAATGTAAAACAAGCAGATTTGTCCAGCTGTTGTTGCAACTATTTACAGGAAGTAAAACATTCTGTCTAAAAGTACAGAGATCATCTTTTCTGTAATATAACGGCTATTATTCATTTTATGTCAGAGTCAGAGTCTCTTTATTGTCATTCGCACTTCATGTGGTACATGTGGTGGAGTGAAATTATGTACACAGGGTCCCAGTTACATCCAACAATAAAATGTAAAAGAAAAACAATAATAACATCTAAGATATGAACTAAGAAAAACATAAACTAAATATACACTAAGCAGTTAATAGCATAAAAACATCACGTCGAACATCAGCACAAACATGAACATGAGTGTGTGAGCAGATGAGCACGCATGAACACATCAACATTGAAACAGATCAGCAGCAACATTGAAACAGATCAGCAGCAACATTGAAACGGATCAGCAGCATGATATGGTTTTTCACAGTGATTATTCTGGTTAGAGATTCATGAGTCTTAACAGCCTCAGGGTAGAAGCTGTTCCTCAGTCTAGTGGTTCTACACTTAATGCTCCTCAACCTCCTTCCTGAGGGGAATGGAGCAAAAAGTGTGTGTGCTGGGTGAGTGGGGTCCTTCATGATGCAGGTGGCCCTCTTCCTGCATCTAGAGGTGTAGATGTCTGTGATGGTGGGGAGGCTGACTCCAACATCTTCTGTGCAGCCTTCACCACTCTCTGCAAAGCTTTTCTTTCTGCAGCTGTGCAACCTCCATGCCACATGTTGATGCTGGAGCACAGGATGCTCTCCAGTGCACACCTGTAGAAGGAGGTGAGGACTGAGCTTCCCAGAGCAGCTTGTCTCAGCCATCTGAGGAGGTAGAGTCTCTGATGAGCTTTCTTGATCAGGCTGGTGGTGTTGTTGCTCCAGCTGAGGTTGTCATTCAGGTGCACACCCAAGTACTTGTAACTGGAGACCACTTCCACCGCAGATCCTCTTATGTTCAGGGGGGTGTAGGTGTGTCTGTTCCTTCTGAAGTCCACAATCATCTCCTTTGTCTTCTTCACGTTGATGTGAAGGTTATTCTCTTTTCACCAGCTCTCCAGGTGTTCCACCTCCTGCCTGTAGCTGGACTCATCATTGTTTGTGATGCATCCCACCACCGCTGTATCATCTGCAAACTTTACAAGATGACAGCCTGGATGGGTAGCTGCACAATCATACGTGAGCAGAGTAAACAGGAGGGGGCTCAACATACATCCCTGATGAAAGTTCTTGTTTTTCTGGTTGGGTCAAAGATCCAGGAGGGAAACCTAGAGGATCCATGATCTCCTTCTTTTGAATGATATCACTCATCAGATCTAAATATGACTCAGACTGCAGAACAAATAAAAACTTTTTCTGCGTTTTCGGACTTTTCATTTCTCCTGTTTTTAGATGGCAGCAGTTTGACAAACCTGGAGGAACACCACGTGAAGTTACAGACTTGTTCATTTTAAGATGGAGACTTTAAAGTCAGACAGCCGACATTCAGTGATGGGTCAGACCTCGGCCCGTTTCTTCTTTACTCACCTTAACTGTCTGGCACCACAGCGCTCTGGTGAAGCAAAAATCCACAGAGACTCGCAGAGAACCTGAGAAGAAGTCCAAACCTTCAGCATCAGAGCAGAGGAGCAGCCATCTTTCTCAGGCTCATTTATTAGTCGGAGCCGTGAAGAGGCGCAGGTACGAGCTCAGATGAGGCCATGATCCATCTTCCTGTCCCTCCGTTAATCTGTGAGACGCTCCGCCTTTAATCCAGGTAAATTATTCTCTCACCAGCTCCTCACAGTCCTCAGACAGCAGTAAGAGACAGAGAGTGGACAACACATCATCAGCGACAGGAAGCAGAGACAGACTCACAGGTGGGCTGCAGTCCTTCTCACCTGAAGACCTCTCAGCTGCTCTGCACACGCTCACAATCATCATCTTCACTCAGACGCACAGAATCTGCCTCAGACACCAGAACAAACTCAGACAGCCTCCTCAGTCCGCTGTCTGAAAAAGCTCCACTTTATCAAGACATTAATCCACGTCAGAATCCTCTGTTCATTTCTGATAATCCCTCAGAGTCTATAGAGCATTCGTTCCAACCCTGGTCCTTGAGGACCACTATCCTGCATGCTGCACCTGATCCACTCATTTAATGACTTCCACACCCTCTGCAGAAACCTGTGAATTCATTCAGATCAGGTGTGTTGGAGCAGGACGGTGTTCCTCGAAGACCAGGTTGGAAACCATGGCTTTTGAAGAAGGTCCAAATGTTCAGCGGCTGTCTGTGAGGGTTTGGTCTGTGGGGGTTTGGTCTGTGAGGGTTTGGTCTGTGAGGGTTTGGTCTGTGGGGG